CCTGCGGGAGATGCCAACGCTGGCCCGTGACGTGCAGCAGCCGGCTGAGTTCACCAGATCCGACTCTCTCGTTGCACGCCGGACTCGGAACTCCCGTCAGCGCTGTTATCAGCTGTCCCAGAGAACTCTGCTGAAGACGGAGAGGCTGCCGTTGTCTGGCTGTTTCTGTGTGTCCGTAATCTATACAGCATAGATTGTTCTCCAAAACTTCCAGATGAGATCCATGGACAAGCCCTGAAGGCCCAATTTTATACAAACTATTGGAAATAGAGGAGCTAAAAACTGCCTTTGGTCGGAATGGCCACTGAGAATGAGCACCCGCACCAAAAGATGCAATGGAACACTTAGAAAGTACTAGAGCCCTGGCCAGTTTGGCTCAGTGGATAGAGCATTGGCCCTTGGACTAAAGGGTCCCGGGTTTGATGCTGGTCAAGGGTCCATACCTCTGATGCAGGCTTGATCCCTGGCCCTGGTCGGGTGCATGCGAGAGGCAACCAATCGATGTGGCTCTCTCACGTAGATGTCTCTCTCTGTCTCTCCCCCTCCCCGCACTCTCTTTAAAAATCAATGGGAAAATATACTCAGGTGAGGATGAACACAAGAAGAAGTGCTAGAATGAGAGCACTCTGGAGCCTTGTGTGTATAACGCCCGGCCCTGTGTCCCTGGCGTTTCCAACTTCTCACAGAGCGTGCATCTCAAACAGCTGTGGGCTGGAGGGAGCACCTCCTATTGGGGCCCTTGTTTCCCGGGCCCCCCTCAGTGTCAACAGACTCAGCAGGGCATGGGACATCAGTCCAAGTCCTGCCTTATTCCTGGTGCCCTTGTGGCCACCGAGGTTAGTGTAGTGTGGGTAGCTATTACTGTGCTGAGCAGAGTGTCATAGAAGGCTGTTCAGGCCTGGCCTTTGCAGACATTCCAGATGGGGATGGGGGTCACAGAAGCCCTAGAGAAGGCCTCCCAGGACTGATGCCAGAGGCTGTATATCTTGAACAGTGTATATTCCTTTCTGGTCCCAAGACTGTCTAGGGAATGAATTTTGTTCTGGGCCTGATTCACACTTTTCCAAATGTTTGGGCACAGGAATGGTAAAATGCTACAGATCTAACTTATGTTAAATGAATTGCAGTTTGGGGATCTTTCAAAGTAGCTGTGAGGCCATAGTCATCAATGTTCATGGGGCAATAGCATCTTTAGAAACCACGAGATTAACAGATATAAATGGGTGGGTCCATTAAGGAGAGCTAGGGATGTGCTTCTGGGTTTGCTATGAGGGCGATGACCTTGGAACCTCTGACTAGCAGGGAGAGACTGAACGATTGTCTGCTCCATGGAGCAGACCTTATGTTTCTGCCTCCAGAGAAAGCCTTCAGCAACCCGACTGGGTGTCTGTTCTTTCACAGCTCCTTATGTGACATATCTAAGTAAAGATCTATCCGCCCCTTGCTCTCTGACCGATGCTCTGGATCACTTCCAAGTGGAGAGCCTGGATGAAATCATCCCGACTGACATGAGGAAGAATGACCTGCCTCCGCAGCACGCGCCCCGCAATATCACCATTGTTGCTATGGAAGGCTGCCACTCATTTGTCATTGTGGACTGGGACAAAGCCACCCCGGGAGATGTGGTAACAGGTGTGTCCAAGGCAGATGTTCAGAGTTCCCATCAGCATGTAGGTGGGACATACAGATAATAACGGATGGACAGATGAGGATGAGTATATGGAAGGATGGATGGATGGATACATGGATACATGCATGGATGGATTGGATAGATGGATGTATGGATACATGGGTGGATTCGATGAATGGATGAGTAGGTGCGTGGGTGGGCTGGATGGATAAATGCAGATGTCTTCTTTCAAAAGGATGAAATATAGGCAGGTAGGAAAGTCCTGTGGGGCAGTATGAAGAGCACTGGATGAAGTCCGAAGTCCAGAATCCTAGTCCAAGATAGATTTGCATGACCTTGAGCTACCTACTTCATCTCCCTGGACATTTGTTTCCTCTTATGCAAAATATTGTTACATCTTTTACATTCTGTAATCCTGCAAAATGGCCAGGGAGTCCATGTAGCCACTTGTAAGATTAGATCCTACAGTATAATGGGTGATGAAGAGTTCCTATTGTGTGCTACCTTGTGACTCTGCCTCTTCCACTTTCCATGCCTGCTGGGTGCTTCCGGATCAGTCTTAGCGCTTCTGAATTGCTTATGTGGGAATTGGATGCGATGGGAAAAGGCCCAGGCATCTTGAGCCTTCTAGATTCTTGGCCTGTGAGATGATCATTAATTTCATCTGACTCTGCCAAGGATATATTTGAGGAGAAATATATTGAAATAAGTTTTTACTGAAGATAATTGATATTTTCTTTGAAGAGACCCTTCCTTTGTGAATGATTTCTTCTGAGCCTGCAAGTTGTGTAAGAGGAAGGGATATGTATGTGTGTGTCTCTCAGGCTAGATGGGTGATGGTGGTATAGTTTGACATTATCTGTCACTATTATGCTAATGTAGTTCATCAAAGTCATAGTACTTTTGCTTTATGTCCCTAATATTATCTCTTAAAATGAGAAAAAAGTATTCAAGAACATCCAAAAAGCAACTTTTCTTATGGAGTTTGCACAGTAGCACAAAAGCCAGGATAAGGGACACAGGGAAGAACGGCCCCGGTATTGTGCCAGGTGAGGTTGCAGGGCCCAGAGGAGCCATGATGGTGCAGGATCAAGGAGTCTGAGCTTTAGGTGTAACTAATAGTGCTGGTTACTCCAGTGTGCATGCTGCGTGGGCTGCTGCAGCCAGTCTCTATGAAGTCCAACATGCTTCTAATAGGAAGCAATAAATCAATGGAAGAAGGAAAGCTTGCAGTCAAAACATCCAGAAAATTCTTTTCTTCATTGAATATGGTTTTATGAAGGGCAATTTTGAAAATCAAGCAAGCAAGCATTCAGAAGAATCATTGAAAACCTTACCTTATACTGTTTAGCTTTTGATCTCTTGTACAACAGAGGTTACTTAACATAAGTGTACCACTGCTCCCTGAGCCCTGGGGCATTTGAGAAGCACAGCTGCAGGATGAGAGTTATCAGTTATCCTTCAGTGATTGCCCCATTTGAGGACCCCAGGGAAGCTCTCCATGTCCACCATGACTAGGTCTCCCTTCACACCCCTGACAGCTCGTGGACAGATCCTTCATAGTTCCAGTCACAGCTGTGTTCTTTGGTCTGTCTGTCTGCTCTACTGCTCCCTGAGTCCTCAGCACTTAGTATAGTGTCTGAGCAATAGTGGACATGCAATAAATATCTCTTAAATGAATTAATGAATGAACTTGAACAAGATACTTAGCCCTCCTCCACGGGTTATACCTTTTGCGGAGCGTGGTTCCTTCACGCTCACTGGGTTCTTCCTTCTTCCCACACGCAGGCTACTTGGTTTACAGCGCATCCTATGAAGACTTCATCAGGAACAAGTGGTCCACCCAGGCTTCGACGGTCACTCATTTGCCCATTGAGAACCTGAAGCCAAACACAAGGTAGGGCATGGCAGTCACTGAAAAACCAAACCATGAGACCCGTGGACACAGTGACAGGTATCCTTGGGCTGCAAAGAAAAAACCCAACCAGAATGCTTTTATGATTTCCTTTGCATCCTCTTTAGTTCCCATAGCGTATCCATGGACACTTACATAGGACAGGTAGTTTCCTTGGAAGAAGTTACTGTGGTTACTGGAATTGTTAGTCTATTGTGTGGACATTTGTTCCCTGGTTTCCAGAGACTCAGCACTGCCTACCACTGGGTAAGCAAAGATGTTCTGTATTGAAAAGGAAGTGATCCTTTTGTCATCACCTGTGTGGCGGTGTTAGACGGCACACCCTCCACATGTGACATCAATGGAGCAGCCATTGCTAAACGTTTTAATTCACTGGTACTCAAACTCTATGATGTAGAAGTTTAGATCATTCCAGGAATTAAAATAGGTTACAACCACGTCTTTCTACACCGGGCAAGTGCTGGCTGGGCAGAGGGCCATCTGGGAGCCAGAGTTTACAGCCTCAGTGTGAAAAATGCAAAATGTATTCCCAGGGTACAAAGTGGGGGAGTATGCATTTCTGCTTCTATACAATCTGGTTTTGAAAGTGATGACAGTCAGGAAAGCCTCCCTGGTGGGGGAACACAGTGAAGCACGAGCAGTGGTGTGCCTGCAAACCAGCTCTCTGGGGAGAAACAGCGCTCCCTGGTGCATGGTGTTTGCCAGTGCTCCCACCAAGGCCAGTGGTTTTCATGCCTAAAAATCGGTTTAAGACGCCGTTAACCAGGAGAAAGAGGGTGGGGCAAGGCCAGGTTGTTCCAGGCAGAAAGTTTGCTCAAAAAGACGGTGAGTTCTAGATAGGAAAGGAGGCCGAGAAGGCGGGAGGGGTGAGAAGGCTGGAGGTTAGACACTGGTCCCAGAGGGCCTGCAGAGCCCCTGGGGGCCTCTGTCCTACCGTCCACCCATGGTCAGCTGCCTGGTGGACAGACCGGAACAGCAGCTGCTATTGTGGCCTCCCCAGGGTGCCTTCCCGGCCATTTGTTCTGATGGGGAGTGCTCCCCAGGATGTGAGCACTGTGCCTTCTCTCACACGGGTTTCTGAACAGCTGCCAAACTCTCCGGGCCAGGGAAATGCTATGATGGGAGGATGCTTTTCCCCTGCGTGACCCTAGGGAGGAGGAGGAGAAGTGGGGGACTAGCAAGTCTCTGGGGGTCTCCTTTAGGAACCCAATGCTTCCTCCTTGGAGTCCAGGTTTTCCCACCTCATCGCTGTCCCCAGGCTTCCCAGACGCCACCCTCAGGGTCCCCCGAATCGGAGACACAGGAAGCCATGATGCAGAGGAGCCAGAGTGTAAACGCAGCTGTGGCTCTTCATCGCCGAGTCTTGGGTTTGACTTCGCGTGAGCATATCACCCAGCTCTGCCAGGTCACTTTCTGGAGCGCATATTTTAATCCACACTCAAGGTCCGATGATTTGTCACTGTGGAGTCGATTCAAAAGCAGGGCCAAAGCCTATGTAAGGCGGCAAGGCATGGATCGCACCTGCTACTTGGGCAAGGCAGAATCTCTTCAGAGTATGAATGCTATTTCAGCTCATAGCCAAAGCTTCATGTGGTTTTTGAAAATAGGAGCTTCACTTCCTTCATAATTCCAGGTTGCTTTTCAGCGCGGCATATTTAATTTACTTGGACACAGTAGGTGAAGTTCAAGTGGAAGCATGTCCTTGGAGTTGGGCCGCGTGGCTTTGCGGAGGATGGAATGATGATGCGCCGGGACGGTGGGTCTGGAGATGCTGAGGCGTCAGAGGGAGACCCGTTGACAACAGAGACGCTGGACTAGCTCCCCTCAGGGGCTGGCGTCTCCTCGGTGCACAGCTGAGCGCGGAGCTCGGGAAAGGGGCATCAGGCGGCTCCAGTGGTGGCTTGAGAAACAGTCAGGAGGAACGTCCCCTGTAGCCTCAGAATGTGCCATCCCTTCGGTGACATCCTGTAGCCCCCTTGGGCTTTCATTTCCTTTTTCTTGAGGAAAAAAGAAAGTATCTGTAAAGTTTGACCAGAATCACAACAGCCAGACCCATCACTTGACCAGCTGCAGTTTCGCCTTCGATTCCTCCGCAGCCACCCGCGAAAGCGCACGCCGCTGGGAAAACGTGAACTGCTGAGCAACGTGACATCTGGAGACGTGTGTTCTCAATTGCGCATCTTTTTCTCAAATGAGATTTAGAAAGGATTCTCCCCTAATGTGAATGACTTTCTCAAAAGGCTTCAAAGAAGACTAATTTTACTGGGTGGCTTCATCAGCTCAGCCATTTCGACCAGCTCTGTTTCATCAGACACAGAATCACGTCCTGTCTGTAACTGTGAGGCCACGGGATCCTTGGTGATCGCAGATGCTCAGAAGCGTGGCGCCAGGACACAGCCTTTGCTCTCCGCATGTCAGTAACTCACCTTAAAAACCCAGTGCCTTTTCCTCAGCGCATGTAATCTGTGCGCCTGACGAAGAATTCTGGAACGAAGTGTGACTCCTCTGGTCAGAGCCACAGGGAAAGACTCGCCATGAACTCTCCAAAGCGGTGCAGAGCCACACTCGCAGGATGTACCCCTTCCTCGCCTGCAGTAGCCCAGGAGGGCACGGGGGAGGGACACACAGAGCTTCTCAGAGACGGAGTGGGTACTAAGTGGTGCTGGGCCCCAGTCTCTCCAGCCACCGCTTTCATCCTGTAGCTCCCAAGAGAGCAAAGCAAGATGTCCCGGGACTCCCACCCCCGGGGGCCTAGCAGCCTCCCTCCAGGTGGACGAGCCGATGTGCTTGCTGCCCATTCTCTGTTCCAAGACCAAGGAGAATCCTTGAGAAGTTCTCCAGGCCTGCTCCCCATCCCTTCCTGGACTTGCTCCTCTCTCCCGGAGGCGCAGAAGCTCGAAACTCTTCTAAGGCTTCCAAGCCAACCACAGCGCTTGTCATGCAACCAAAACACGTTGGTTGCCTCTGGACTCCGCCTCTGGACCAGTTCTCCCTCTCTGCCCGCGGTCATGGCGGGCCACACAGCCTGCTCTTCCACGCAGAGCCCAGCGGCGCCCTCCAGGGCCTGGCCCTCCAGCTGGGCCCGAGCAGGACAAGAGGAGGTTCCTCCCAGGGCCCAGTTTCACGGCAGAACCACCGGGTGCCCTAAGGGACACACTCTCTCAGTGATGCCCCGTCTGCTCACAGTGGCCACAGGTCTATGCTGTTCATTGTATTATTTTGAGAAGTTTTTAGAAAATGAGAAAGTTCAGAGAACGATGAAGAAATAGCAGGGATGTGTGCATTAGTAAAAACAAAAAAAAATAGGACTCAAAGTCTGCCACAGAGTAAGGAGTTGGGAAGTCTGTCTTATTACAGAAGTTAAACAAGGGTCTCTCTCAGCAAGCGTTTTCTTCCCATTTCAGGTATTATTTTAAAGTTCAAGCCAAGAACCCTCAGGGCTATGGACCCATCAGCCCGTCGGTCTCATTTGTCACGGAGTCAGGTACGGCTGCCTTCACTTCTCATTTCTCCCTCTTCTCAAAAACAAATAATTTGGAATAATGACTGCAATAGAATAAAAACTGGAAAATTAGAATCCTAACTTTTCTATTTACTGAATTCATATTGGCTATTGCTTTATTAAATAAACATCACTTTCTGCTAGGTTAAAACTTGGACAATAATATTCAAAGTAGTCTTTTTTGGAACTGCCTGGAAAATGGAAAGGTCAAATTCCAGTGAAAATGGGGATCTAGTTCTCAGCCATGCAGGAAAGGTAGTCTGAATCTCTCTGCAAAAGATTTCGTGACAGAGGTAATTTTTTCATTGCAAACAGCTTAAGAGCATAACTAGCCTGAGGCCTGAGAGGCAGCTGCTTCTAACAATGAGTTACGTCTCTAAGATGCTTATTTAATTGTTTAAGATTTTTCTTTTCTTTTTAAAAAATATATTTGTATTGATTTCAGAGAGGAAGGGAGAGAAATAGAAAGAGAGAAACATGAATGATGAGAGGGAATCATTGATCCGCTGCCTCCTGCCTACTGCATCAAAACATGGAGAAGAAAATGAAATCTTTTTGAGACTATGCTCTCTATACTGGAAATGTAGGCAAAGGACCTCAACAGCATTTTCATCTATTTCATCTAAGAAGTGTGTTTCTCATTAGTAATCAAGAAGAAGCCATTATCAGTGGTTAATGTGCTAACGTAGGGAATGTGTCTATATTTATGGCTACATTTCCTAAAAAGAAAATGGACTTTTGGCAACTTTCAGGATCAACATGATAAAAATCTATAAGAAGAAAACCAAATTATTCACACTTAAGCATCTATCAAGAACCTGATGTCTGAAATCTGAGGGTAGGAAGGCACATGTGTAGCTCATTCTTGTTTCTTACTCAGCAGCATTCCTTGCACGGCGGCTGTACCACAGTGAGCTTCTCCACTCACCTGCTGGTAGACATTGGGCTGTTTCTGCTTTTTGACTATGAAAAATAAAGCTGCCTCACACATTCATGTATACAAGTGTTTTCTGGGACATGTTTTAATTTCTCTTGGGTAAGATCTCAAGGCCACAGAGGGTGGATTTTACAGTAGGTGCATGTTTACCTTTTTAAGAAACCACCAACCTGTTTTCCCAAGATGGACACGTTTTAAAACATAATGAGTATTTCATTTCATTATTTTGTGGTACCCAGTGTCAAAGTATTCAGAGACCCACAACTTCTATAAAAATAATGAAGTATTTCTCAAAAGGAAGTGCTCAGAAAATAAAAACTAACAAAAATGTTGGCCTTTGACAAAGAAACCATATATTTTTTCTTTGCTACTCCAGTTGGGTTAGCCCTCTCAATTATAATACACATTTAAGTCCTGGCATGGTTGTGAAATGTGATAATGGAGTCATTTTTTTTTTTCATTCTACAGACAACCCTCTGCTTGTTGTGAGGCCACCAGGTAAGTCTGTCTTCTTGATAAACTCCATATTTGAGTAATCATGTTGAACACTGACTATGAGATTATTACAAGTGCTGGACCATTTTTGTATTTTTATAATATTAGGACAACATCGGTGGTTTCTTTACTCCCTTCATCCTAATCCAGGGAAAAGTGATCTGGGAATTTTTTAATAGCAGCCAACATCGACAAAAAACCATTATGGGTGACCAAGCTCTCTGAGAATAGATAAGTTTATTTTCATTCAACCCCCTTTGAATATTTTAAATATTTGAAAAGGTAGCAAAATGCATTAAGTGTATAACAAAATTTTACTTTGTTTTTAAATAACCTGAGAAAGCTCTATTGCTCAAGTTCAGGATGGGTCTTCTGAGTGACAAGAACAGTAGGAGTCTAGGCAGAGGGACCTGGTGGGAGGTAGGATGGCATGCCTTGCAAGATCAACTTGGCCTCTATAGCTTATTTCCCATAATGCCGTTTTCTTGCTCTGAGAATCTCTTCACTATGTTTGAGTAAAAGGAACTCCACGGCTATGTTTCAGTCCTAAGAAGGCAAAGGAAAGAGAAAGAGGATGCCCACTGGGAGGTGGGAAAGCTTTGCTCAGGGAAGCCTTGAGAAAGAAGGCCCAGCAAATAAGTCAGATCTCTGGTACTTGTGCGAGAGTAAACACGGGAGCGCCATGCCCTGGTGTGTTTTTGTTGTCAAGGAGGTGAGCCCATCTGGATCCCATTTGCTTTCAAACACAACCCTGACTACACGGACTGCCATGGCCGGCAGTATGTGAAGCGGACGTGGTACAGAAAGTTTGTGGGCGTCATTCTCTGTAACTCACTGCGGTACAAGATCTACCTCAGTGACAACCTGAAAGGTAGGTCTTTGAGGCTGGTTGGCTGTGGGAGGGCAGGAAGAATTTTTATTTTATGAGCTGCTCACTTGACATAGCAGGTGTGTGAGGGCATATTTAGGTTTAGCTCAAATTCAAACCAGCTTGGCAGGCTCTGTCTTAGGGTGATTCGTTCCCTCACTGGCACCCAGACAGATACATGTTTTAAACCTACCTTTTAGGAATTCTGACAAAATTCTGACATAAATGTAAAGGCCAGTTTTTGCTGTTAATGCAATAATACGCATGAGTATAAGCTGGAAGGATTGAGGAAAACACTCCCTTCGTTTCCTGCTACTGGCACAACTTCACAGAGAAAAAGACACAGATGGTAAAACATGCTTTATCAGAACCATCTTTTCCAAATAAAAATTACATCGACTTCATCGTGGGTGGGGAGTAAAACAAAGGATCACATGCACTTTGACCTACTAACATTCCAAAATGCCATTTGACCCAGCTGGCTTTGCCTCATTCACCTACGCAAATTTTTTTTTTAATTTTTCCCTTTATTTTTATTGTTGACACTATTACAGATGTCCCCTTCCCCACCCTTTGCCTGCCTCCACCCAGACCCCAAATTTTTTTTATTTCAAAATTTGCACAATTTTTAGTAAATACATTTTTCAATTTTTCCTCAGCTGCTCTATATTTTATTATGGGTTTTTTTGTTGTTGTTTGTTTTTTTCTTGCTAGTGGCATCATGTCAAGATAATGTCAAAACAAAATCTCCCTTACAGTCCTCCACACTGGCAGTTTCTCAGTGTGTATGCCTCTCCCAGCACTCACTGTCTGTGTCTCTCTGCCCTTCTCCTCCTGTGGTTCGGAAGTCCTAGGAGAGGTGCACAGCCTGCAGCATCCCAGGGTTGAGAAAAACAACTTTGTCCTACTGTGCAGCTGTGTTTCAGCACCACGGACAGTGCCTCATGCCACTGACACACACTCTACTAGTTATAAATGAAAATAGGTTCTTCTATTTTTATAGGTCTTTGTACCTTTCACAGTGCAGCCTCTAGACTAGATTAGTTTCATCTGTTCTTTTTTTTAAAAAACCAACGATTAAAAAAGTATACCATTTATATTCTGAAACTGCCTGTAATGGTTTCCATTTAGTGAACACTTGTTAAGTATTTAACATACATGATCTCTGACAACTTAAACACTTATGGGTTGGTACCATTATCACCAAGTTTCAAACATGGAAAGTATGACACACAGAGTTGAGTAATGTACCCACTTCAAATAGTCTCCAAAGCCCAGGCAGACTCCTAAACCATCTGCGGCACTTTTTGAACAGTCACTGACTTATCTTATTCCTCCATGAAGACACATTCTACAGCATCGGAGACAGCTGGGGAAGAGGTGAAGACCATTGCCAATTTGTGGATTCACACCTGGATGGGAGAACGGGGCCTCACTCCTACATAGAGGCCCTCCCTAGCATTCAAGGTAATGAGGACACAGACCTGGCATATTCCACTGGGGGTGAGAGAGGAGGACTGATATGGGGAGAAAGTTCACCGTGGCCCTGGCTTTGGTGTACCGCTTGATGACAGGTTGTTGGTAGCATTATAGCTCATGACAATCAAACATTAACAAAATACACCTACTGTGTGCTGGAGTTGGGTAAGCCTAGGGAAAGAAGAGCTCAATGGAATATAAGACCTCATCCCTACTCTCAGGAAGATGGTCCAAGACCAGAAAGAGAAGCTAAGTATCTGAAAGGCAACTAACAGGTACAACTTAAACTGTAGATAGTGACAAGAGTTATGTCACATGGTCGTCCTGTTGTCAGGCGATTGAGCAGATTACAGCCACTGTCTGAGTGTGAGGGAGGCCGGCCATCAGACACTGTTGGGGAAGGTTTTCGTAAGAGACAGAGTCAAAAAGAGGCATAGACACACACAGAGTGGAGGGCCTTTGTGGGGAGAATGGCAGGAACAGTAAGGAAGAGAAAAATAAACAAGTGCAAACCAACCGTGACCTGCTTCAGGGGACAGTGTATCAGCTATTTGATGATGGCTGTTGTAAGGTGGGAACTAGTGTATTCACCTCAAGTGTGAACACCCTGCAATATGTTACTTACTCCCCCAACAAACAAACAATCAGAACTGAACGAAGTCCAGCTCTTTTCCCCATTATGCACTCAGTTCTCAACAATCTGGCATTTTCAAGACACGAGATGTTTTCTGATCCATCGACATTTTTAGCTCGGGGAAGAAAATGGTACAAAGTTATTCATTTTCAAAGAAGTAAAATACAATAAAATACATAAAACAATAAAATAAGTGTATTAGGGTTCTCCAGAAAAACAAAACCAGTGCGGGATGGGGGGGGGGCGGGGGAGGGAGAGAAAAAGGGAGCGAGGTGCTTATTTCAAGGAATTGCCTCATATGATGGTAGAGGCCGGCAAGCCCGGAATCTGCAGGGGCCAGCAGGCTGGAGACCCGGGAGAGTCTGTTTCCGTGTGAGTTGCTGGCAGGACACTGTCCTCTTAACGGGAAGGAAGTTTCTTTAGGGCCTTTAACTGATTGGATGAGGCCCACCCACCATATGAAGGGTAACCCATTTTACTCAAAGTCTTTCGATTTAAATGTTAATCTCATCTAAAACACACATTCACAGAAAGACCTGAATAATAGTTGACCAAATATCTGGGTCCCATAGCCTAGCCAAATTGAATACAGAAAATTAACCATCAAAATAAACATTAAATATAGGGTGTCCCAACAAATGTATACACACACTTTGAATAATTGTAAAGGCAGTTTATTAAAATACATCCCATTTTCAAAATTGAGCTACCGCTGTTAAAACATGTACACATTTTGGGGAGACACCCTATATACAGGTGTAAGTGCTTTTCCAAAGTCACCTTACTAACATTGACAAATGTGGTTGAAAGGGGTTTGTTACCAATATCAGGACTCCTTTATTGCTCTTATCACTTAGGAAACCTCATGGATTTTAGGAACGCTATGCCGGGAACAGGGATAAAGACCAAATACATATTTCTTACTATAAATGGCAGTATCACAGACACATTTCTCTCCTCTTTTTCCTTTTCCCGTTCCAGGCTACTACCGCCAGTATCGCCAGGAGCCTGTCCGCTTTGGCAACATTGGCTTTGGGACCCCCTATTACTACGTGGGCTGGTATGAGTGTGGCGTCTCCATCCCAGGGAAGTGGTAACCACAGGACGAGCATGCGGAAAGCTTGCCCTGCCCGGCCCCCTGGACTAACTCGCACTGAGGGCTGAGCAGGAAAAGGAAGACGGCGCCTGTCCCAAGCCCCTCTGCCCCGTGTCAGCAAGGCCACAAGGTGGACACTGGATATTTGGGGCATCTTCAGTCTGGACTCAGCCCCACTTCCTGGCCTGGACCACACACGGGATTCAATGTTGCTGTTAAGTTTGCTTCTCCACACGTTTTGCTTATAATAGCACATCCCAGAGACAACCAAAGCACACAGCTACCAGGGATGCCCACTGATTCAGGGTGATTTTCACACTTCTTAGGCACAATATCCAGACCATCGGTATCTCCAGAGAACAGCAGAAGCTGGCTTCATGGGATGCTACACGTTCTTTTTTCACCGGACTCCTCCCGAACTAGCTGACGTTATGCTCCTGGCTCTTTCTCTGCAGGAGAACGAATTACTCAAATCCTCACCCAAGAAAATATATCCTGCTTAAGATTTATCCATGACTCACCCACTGCTAGACCAAATGTATCAAATCTTGGTCAATCTCATTTTGATATATATATGTATATATGCATATACATATCCACACTTGTCTGCAAGAATGTTGATTAAAATCGCTAAATTTGTACCTGTTTATTAGAGAAACGTGTGTGGGACTTTTGGGAGCAAAGGTGCCATTTTCGAACATCTTATTGAGGTGTCCAGAGCATGCGTTCTCAGCAGAGGAAAGCCATGCCTCCTTCCTGTGCGTGCTGCTGAGCTGTGGGTGGTGCGGGTACTGCCGCAGGGTGGCAGACTCATTGCAGACCGAGTGCCTTCGGTCTCCCACGCCCGTGTGGAAACGCGCGGCTGTCTCTGTGGGGACAGACCTAGCATGTTTGCAGATTAAGAGTTTAGGTCTCGAGTGATTCGAAAATCCAGTCTTAAAGAAACCCCTTTCCCTCTCCTGCCTGGCTCAGTGTCTACTTCTTGAAATAAAGCACCTTACCCCTCTTCGCCGCAGCACACGTGAGTTTATTTAAAACACCGTGTCCGGTCCACGGGCTTGGCTCCTCCGTGTCCTCCGGCAGCTCTGTGCAGTGAACAGTTTGTCTCAGACAGGTTTACACATACGAAAAACAGGGCTGGAGGTGGATCCGTTTCTGGGCCCACTGGTGTTTCCCTCATATGAATGATGTGACGTGGGATGCAGTCCAGGCTCCTGGAGCCAACCAGTGCAGGCCGGCGCTGTGTTGAGGGAACGTCTGGTGTATCGTGTAGACGTGAAGATAGAACTTACAAGCAAACAAGTAACTTTGCAGGCCGCTGCATTGGGGCTGTGATAATGGACACTTCCCTCAGCTCCCACCATCCCCTTTGCACAGTAAACAACAGTAGAGACAGTGTGAGTAGGCAGACAGCTGGGAGAATAGAGAATTCCTTAGGAGGGCAGATCAGATGCCCAGCTCACGTGCTACTCGCATGTTAATTTGCAAAATAGCATAATGCTCTCCAGGTCCATCCATGCTGTTGCAAACGGTAGGAGTTCCTTTTTACAGCAGCGTAGTATTCCATTGTGTAGATGTACCACAGTGTTTTAATCCACTCTTCTGCTGATGGGCACTTAGGCTGTTTCCAAATCTTAGCTATTGTAAATTGTGCTGTTATGATCAGAGGGGTGCATATATCCTTTCTGTTTGGTGTTTCTAGTTTCTTGGGATATATTCCTAGAAGTGGGATCCTTGGGTCAAGTGGGAGTTCCACTTTTAGTTTTTTGAGGAAACTCCATACTGTTCTCCACAGTGGCTGCACAAGTCTGCATTACCACCAGCAGTGCACGAGGGTTCCTTTTTCTCCACATCCTCTCCAGCACTTGTCGTTTGTTGATTTGTGGATGATAGCCATTCTGACAGGTGTGAGATGGTACCTCACTGTCATTTTGATTTTCACCTCTTGGATGATTAGTGACTTTGAACATGTTTTCATATGTCTCTTGGCCTTCTGTATGTCCTGTTTTGAAAAGTGTCTACTTAGGTGTGTTGCCCATTTTTTGATTGGGTTATCTTCCTTTTGTTAAGTTGTATGAGTTCCCTGTAAATGTTGGAGGTTAAACCCTTATTGGGAGATAACATTAGCAAATATGTTCTCCAGTGCAGTGACAGAAATCTTTAAGTAGCTTTTGTGGCTCTTGCACATGAAAGGGGGATTTTTTAAAAAGAAGGATGTCTAAAATCACCTTATATTTTACTCTTATTAACACTCAAACAAACTTCTTTCAATAAAGATAAGGTCTTTCAGTATAAGTGAATTTTTCTAATAAGCAGGTAACTGGCTTTGGCACCCACCAGCTGGCCATCACCACTGCTGTCGGAGGGAGAGAGGCTCCAGGCTGAGGCCCCGGGGAGAGCCTGCAGTTTGCAATTTCCTGAGTGTTCCCTTGGGTATGAATCATTCATTAGCCATCATTAGAATCATTCATTAGCACTCAAGCAGGCATGCTGGGCTGTCCCACAGCCGCCTGGGCACGGCCTCCTCTGGGAGAGATGGGGATCCGGTCAGGAGAGGAGCAGGCACCTCTTCCCTTCGCGATCCACACTCTTCATAACCGCACGGCATGTGCCCTGCTCCTTTCACACACTAAGGGCTTCCTGCTCACTCCTCAGAAGCACGTGGAATCCCCTGGCGTTCACTCAACAATGAACACTGAGCCCCGCGATACCGGAGGATGTATTTCATTATAGAAACCTGCACTTTTATTAGAAAGAAGTGTTTGTGCCCTGGCCGGTGTGCTCAGTGGTCAGAGCATCAGCCTGCGCACTAAAGGGTTGTGGGTTTGATTCCTGTCAAGGGCACGTTCCTGGGTTGCAGATTCCTGGCTCCCAATGGGGGAATGTGTGTGAGGTAACCAATAGATGTGTCTCTCTCACATCGATGTGTTTTTTCTCCCTGCCCCCCACTCTCCCTCCCTTCCACTCTCAAAAAAAGAAAAGAAAGAAATGGAAAAAATATCCTCAGTTGAGGATTAACAACAACAAAAAAGTGTTTGCAAGTTTTGATGGAAATTACTACAAATCCCAGATGATAGAGCAGCCAAAACAAAAACACCGGCTCTGAGCCAAGGTGGTACGATTACCAAAATTCTGTCCAAACGTGGTTACGTCACAGTTCACATGAGTGCTCGTGGCCACATCCAGCTCCGGCCCCTGTCCACTCAGGAGGCCACATTTCAGAACGCCATGGGCCTGAAAACCACTTCGTGTCAGGTCAGGAGGACATTAATGGGGTCGTTTTCCTAAAGCCTTTGTCTATTTCAAAGGCTCAAAGAAGCAGCGAGTTTGCCAGCTCTAGAGGCAGAAGTAGCATAGGTGGGGATTCAAGAAAAAGAACACGTGGCTCACACAGCGAGGAGCGAGCCTCCTTGGGAAGCAGGGAGAAGTCTGTCCCTGAAAAGCCTGAAACAGCACGGGAAAGGCCTAAACTTGCGCCCGGAGGCCCCGGCCTGTGTCCACGTGGCCTGCGAGCCCAGAATGGCTTTTCAGAGGGCTGTAAACCAAACAAACAGACAAGCAAAAAACTCAGTATTAGTCAACAGAAACCATATGTGGTTCACGGGCCTGGAATATGTGCCATCTTACCCTGTAAGAAAACGTTTGCACAGCCTAGGTTAGAGTTTTCCTGGGTTTAAAGACGGTTTAAGCAAAGTCCTAGTTAAAAACTATCACATCACATAGGACTTCATAGATGTCTGTTTTCCTCGTACTTGAGTTATGTTTGGAAATTGATGGATATGCTCAGGATAAAAAAGTCGAGGAATTCGGTGTGTGTGTGTGGGGCGGGGGGGGGCAGGGGGGATTCAAAGGTGGATCTGCAAGCTCAGTATGGGAACTAGTCCTGCTCTAGAAAACGTTCGAGATTCATGCCGGGGGGTGGGGTGGGGGTGGGGGAGGAGTGCTCAGAGATCCCTGGCACCACGTGTCCAGTCTGGCTCAGCACCTGTGGGCTCCGAAGCAGACTGAGGGTACGTGGGGGGGGCGTGGACGCAGCCAGCTCGTGCCCTCAGCACGTGGGGATGTTTGGAAGCAACGGCGGGCTCTCTCCTTGGCCCAGCATTTCTCCGCCCTTCCTCGACTTCCACAGCGGTCAGTGGCCTCCGTGCCAGGCAGTGTGCGGACATGTGCACCTCAGCGCTCACAGTCTACACCAAAACAGCACTTGAGAAGCTGGGCTGGTTTGAAAGCTTGGGGGACGATACCTACGTGATGGGCTTTGTGTGTGTTTGCTGCTCTGGGTGCTGACATCTCTGTTGTTCTAGCTTCATCGAAGCGCAGCTGCTCGGAGGCTTGGTAAATTCCGTTCACAGCATTTCTGGGTTGCCTCGCTGTATCGGAAATATTTGTTTGGTGACCACAGCTTCGTTCTGTTTTTGATGCTGAATTGGAAAATGCTGTTTGTCCTTTGGGACTGTTCTAGTTAATGAGGAACAGATGGTGGTCTGAGAGGTACAGAACTTGTTGACTAGTCAGAAGATCCTCTTGGTGTACATTTAGGGCTTTCTCTGTAGTAGGGATATTTCTGAAGTAATGTGTATTAGTGAGTGGAAAATAACTTGTATCCTAGTTCATGGTTCAAATACAAGGTCAATATTATCAATGCATCCATGCATATACTAGTACATCTGTAACAGACAACTTTATTAAGTCCTTCCTAAGTGTCAGGGATCCTTCTGAGTACAGATTTATTCTTCGGTGTTTTTTCAAAAAATTGGTTGGTGTGTGTTTTTTTAATTTTTTAAAAAAACACACACCAACCATTTTAGTGAGGCATGGTTGGCATACAGAAGGGTGTATATAATTAATGTGTACAATGTGATAAGTATATACCTGTGAAACCGTCACCACCATCTGTACCAGAAACACACCCATTACCTTCAAAAGTTTCTTCCCACCCTCTTAATTTATTTGTGTGTGTGTGTGTGTGTATGTGTGTGTGTGTGTGTGAGAGAGAGAGAGAGAGATAAGAACACTTAACATAGGACCTCCCCTCTGAGCAAGTTTTAAGTGTGCAATACAGTATTGTTAGCTACAGGCCCCGTGCTGTACAGGAGACCTCTAGGTCTTACTCGTCTTGCATGGCCAAAACTAACACCTCTGCGTTTCCCCTCTCCAGCCTCTGGCAACCACCATTCTCCTCACTGCTTCAAGAGTTTTTTTTAGATTCCACAGGTAAGTGGAATCATGTGATATGTGTCCTTCTGTGACTGGCTCATTTTATTCAGTCCTCTGGGTTCATTCATGTTGTCACAATTGGCAGGGTTTTTCTTATTATTAAAGGCTGAATATTCCATTGTGTGTGTGTGTACCACAAGATTTATAGTGCACACTCCTGAATTTTGACAAATTTATAGTCATGTAAGCACCACTATAATTAAAACAGACAACAATTCCATTATGCCCGCCCCCCGCCCCGACACACACACAAATTCCTCCCTCGCCCCTACGCCCTCTCGCCCTATCATCAGCTGATCTGCTTTCTGTCTCTGCTCTTGCCTTGTCTAGATGGTCATGTAAAAGGACGGTTCTATTTCTTCCTTTCCGATCCATTTGCATCTTATTTCTTTTTCTTGCCTATCACTCTGGCAAAGACCTCTCTATGCTGATGAAAGAAGACATCTTCGCCTTGTTCCTGATTCCAGAAGGAAAGCTTTTGGTGTTTCAACGCCAAGTATGATGTTAGCCAAAAGCCAAGTCAAGTTGACACGTGAAACACCATCACGAATTGGAACGCCGAGAGGTCGGGGATGTGGCGTGCTGGGCACCTGGACCATGTCCGGCGCACAGGTCAGGGAATGCCAGACTCCGTGCTGGGCCATGTGCATGCTCTAAACCAGCCGTGGGCAAACTACAGCCCACGGGCCGGATCCGGCCCGTTTGAAATGAATAAAACTATTGAAAAAAAAGACCGTACCCTTTTATGTAATGATGTTTACTTTGAATTTATATTAGTTCACACAAACACT